TAAAATAAAACATTTCAGGCAGTTTGTCTCTATTTTTTTACCTTAAACATTGTACAGTCTTTTTTATTTCACTTTGTGAAAGGTGTGATAGCAGTTTCAGTCAATTGTTCATGCGAAGACAGACCTTACACCCCTCACATATGCATGTGAGAAGTGATTACATTTTAAGTTTTTTTGCCTCCCATATCTATCATTTTGTTTTGACAAATGTACAAAAAGTACAAAAACAAGACATGTCAAGGTGCTATAAACATTTGGTGCGGAAAACAGAACTAAGAAGAAATTTGGGTTGGGATGAGATGTAATTCTTTGTGACTTTACATAAGTGTAATTATACTTTTACTATTTCATTTGTTGATGATAAAAAAATGCGGGGTTAAGGGGGGCGCAAAACTTGAAATCGCATACCCCTCAGTAAATGTGCAGTTGCGCCCCTGGCTACAACCTATATAAAATGTTGTAAACATTTCTAACTCTAACTCTTCTTATTTCATATATATAGTTCTACATTCAAATCATATCCTAATTGCTGTGATTTCCAGATGACAGCATGTGACTTTCTACTCAGAGCTTTTAATTTCTTTAGAAAATGAGTTGTACATTTCTATTGCAAAACTCTCAATACCCAAATAAATCAGCAGCAGTCAGGTGGCAAAATGGTGAAGTTGGAGCTGTTCTAAAAACTTTTACTTCACAAATTGAGGATTCTATTAGGATGTGAACTTCTTTAAAAAGCAGTGTAGCAAGTATTGTCAAATAATAATAAAAAAAAATCTGTGTAATGGCAATTGCAGGCTGTTTTTGTTTTATTTGGTTTTTAAAAGTTTATGTAATGTTTACCTGTTCCTACAAAACTTTTTTCTAGTATATTTGATCTAATCTGAGCTGATTGCATAATTTTTTGCAATGACAAGCTGCTTTTGATGCATTAGTAATTAGGCATCTGACGGTATAAAACCTTGGATACAAACTCACAGTTTCACTTTATTGTGGTTACTGCTCTAAAATATGTTCTATTTTTAACGTCTGGGTAAAAAACAAAACAAAAAAAAAAACCTTTTTCCCCATTGAACAAAATACATGTCAGGCTAAATAATTAAAATAACTAATTGACTCCTGCTCTCTTCTTTAGTTGCAAAAACACAGATTTCTTTACAACACGTTTAAAAACATTAAAAAAAAAGCATTACAAATAGCTTAGGAACGGTATAATACAAAAATTATGCAGTTTTAAAACCTTTACTTTTTCAAACTGTGTTTAACCTTGAAATCGGTTATCGTTCCATGCCTATCAGTAATACGTCTTAAATAATATAATTTTTCGAGAAAAAAATAATTTTTCGAGATCAAGTCACATCTTTTCTTTTTATCTTAATATTCTCTGACCAGGTCACTTTAGACTTTCTTGTCCTGTCCTATTCTATTCTCTCCTATCAACCAAAGGATCAACTGATGAAAATTGGCAGAAAATTCAATAGCACGTTGATTTCTTGCAGTCTGTAAAGTGTTTGCTGTGACTGATTTAATAAGGCAAAAGTCCACATGACTATTTTAAATGTGATTTACACAATCCCAATGAGATATTAAGGTCAAAAGTGTACAATTCTCTTTAAAGTAAGACTTTTACAGACTTTCTACAGTTTGATATGTGGATCTGTGACGACAAAAACTGTAATAAATTCTCAACAAACCTAGGACACAGGAGTGTGTGTGTTAAAGAGTGGTGTTGTGTCAGGTAGAGCAGCCTGTTTTTTATTTCCGTCCTCGTTGGTTTTGCACGATGGGCTTTTCTCAGGTCTGCTTGAGGCCGAAATGAATTTTTCATGTATGACCAGAGGGCCGTCCCGCTCCTACAAACAAATTTAGTGTAAAATCCTGCCAACATATCTGAGGCCAGAAAGAGACATGGAAGGAACTTTAAGCTACTAATGTTCCTACATACATGTTCTCCCCTTCCTTCTCTGTCCTTCAGGCAGTTCAAGTGTGTGTGTGTGTGTGGTCCACGGGCTGTCTGTCACTCCCCTACGCCCCACTTCACACCCTAGTCGTCCCCCCCCGTGGTCACCCGTGAAACCGCAGGCTGCCCAGGCTGGCGCCAGCCCTCTCGCTAAACTGATCAATACTGCAGCATTTCCTGCCCATTCACTCAGGTCACACACTCACCTCATTAATTATTACTGCCAACACTGCTGCTGGTGCACCCCGGGCACCCACAACACACACACACAAACACTCACACACTGTCATTGGTTTACAGACAAACGTTCTGGTTAATGCCTCCACTTATAATAGTGAAACGTTGTTAAAATAGCCCAGTTTGCACAGAGAACAGTAACTATATATAACGACCACAACAATGCTTGATAATGATGTTTGTTATAAGTATGTGCGGCTCTTAAGTTGCCTGCCACTTTAAATGCTTGAGCTTATTAAAGCTGGATGGATGCTGATTGGCTGTCAATGTTTTTATTGGTCTTCAATTGGAAAGAACAAACACTGTGATGTTGTTTTGTGTCGTTACTGTTATCGTTGTGGTGTATCATATTTGTCCTTAGTGTATGAAGGCCTTAGGTGTGTTTTATTCTACTAAATGCCAGTGGGTGGCAAAACATCCCGTTTAGATAATTAGTTCAGAACAGCTGATTCATTTAGAAATAAATCAACTGACCTTCTTTATGAATATATCATTGACTGAAATGTTCAGCAGACTGCTGAATAATAAGTGTTCAGTACACAGAAATGACATACCGTGAGCCTTAAATGGCAATGTTTACATGTTCTCATAGAATGATTCACAGTTAGCCAAGGATCAATGCGGGAAATACATATTATATTTTATTCAGTGTCAAATGTTTTTTGTTAGTTTAACATGTATATTGTGAAATTTGCAGTGATGTTTGTAGTGAGGCAATAAACACTTGTAAACTTCGGAGTGTAAGTGTAATGCATGTTTATGCATCATGTCATATCACTTGGCTCTTGATTTTTCTTGAGTTAATGGGTGGCAAAAAAATGTAAAATATCCTGTTAATGTGGAGGTTGATAGTATTTACTGCTTGTTTTTATACATTAACCTCATGAAATACAACTCAAAAGAACACCTATGTTGGTCAATTTTTGTAGAGCATATTAATAATTTAACCCATATGTAATCCAGCTCTGTAGCAAACTAGTTTTCTCTGGTGGCATAAAGATACCTTACTCCTCTCCAGCACTTCTGTTGAAACAAGTTGTTAACAAGATTGTTAACATAAACTTAGTTTAAAATAATTTTGACAAATGAAGCATTGGCGGCTCAGTGGTTAGCATTGTTGCCTCAAAGCAAGAAGGTCGCTGGTTCAAGTCCCAGCTGGGCCAGTCGGCATTGCTGTGTGAAGTTTGCATGGTCTCCCCATGTTCGTGTGGGTTTCCTTGGCTGATCTGGTTTCCCTCACAGTCCAAAAACATGTAATATTGGTGAATTGAATAAATTAAGTGAATTGTGTGTATTGGTGTTTCCCAGTACTGGGTTGCGGCATATTCCACATGCTGGAATAGTTGGTGGTTCATTCTGCTGTGGTGACCTCTGAAATAGAGACTAAGCCGAAGAAAAGTGAATGAAAGAAGCAAACTTATTTTGCATGTTTGCATTTCAGAGTATATCATGCTATGTGTGTGTGCAGAGCTCATTAATATTCAGGACCATTCCAAATATGGTTAAAATGAAGTTTTTCATTGTAGGGGTTATTCCCGTGTTCATAAATGAGCATATAAAACAGTTCCTAGAGAAATTGTTAAAGGTGCAGTAGGTGATCTGCCAAAATGCTAACAGCTTAGCATATTATCACAACAGCAGACAACCCACTAGTTCATGTCATTCGCCAGTTTAAATAGTGTTTGGCCGGCGGCGTGCAGGAATTACATTTATTACTAAGCCATGCTTGCATGTTATTTCAGAGCGAATATTCAGAGTAGCAAGATAAACAAAAGCAGATAAGATAAAAGCAACTTCAGCTCAATAAAGCAGGTTAGGCAGAATAGCGCTATTTACTGATGTTTTGTTGTTAAACTAAATAAAAATCTACAATATCGATGCTGTCAAAGGTCCTTTATAAAACTGAAAACAGTCATCAATTTTTCGCTGGGAGATTTCAGTGGCTGAACAACACGTCTGTGCATATGTCATTCATAACAGAACACAATGTAACATGAGGTTCGCCTGACTAAAATAGTTTTAAAACAGAACATTACTTGTCTAACAGTAATACTTCAGCCATCAATACTGATTCAGGATTTTCAAAAGTTTCAATTCAGCATTTGATTTCACCGCGTCTGTGATTGTCTCGTGAACGCACGGCGCTCATGTAGGCGGGCACGCACGAATGGATCTGCGTGAACAGAGATGCGCAGAACTCTGAATCTACATTTGCTGACAGACAGTTTCAGCTACTTATCGGAATTATAGGAGATGTCGGCCTGACAATATTTAATTGGATAAACATTTTTTTTGTTTTATGCCTTACCCAGAATATAAAAATACATATAAACACATTTAGATCATTTACTTTAATCAGTACTATTGGACTGTGAAGAGACTTTCAACCAGCACAACAAAAAAATGTTTCTGAAGGCAATCACCTACTGCACCTTTAACATACCTACTTTTATTTAGATATCAGAGAATAAGTTTGCATATTGAATCAATACATACTATGCAACCTTTACATGTAACTTACTCAATATTTACTAATTTGTTGAACTCTTACTATGTTATATATCATTATTAATTTTCAAATATTTATGTTTTCATATCTGCTTTATAACATGCTTCATAACACAGTGCATGTTTTCAGAATCAATATTTCTGATTTTTTTCATAGATGATATATAAATATCTCACAATCCAACTGCCATGTTAATGTCTGTTTGTCATTTTAAAGTGCTGTATAGAAATACAGATGTGACCTCTATTAGATATGCAGGGAATTGTAGAATAAAGCGATACAACACTTTAGATTTTTTTTTCTCCAAAAACATATCTCATTTTATTTAAAAACATAAAGCTGATTCTGACCAAGTGCATAGAATGAGTATAAGTCCAGTAAACTCGACTGTTATAATCATCATCTGTGTAGAAACCACAAATATAAAGTAAATCCTCTTAAAACAGTGCCAAAAACATGATCACATTCCAGACAGGCTCAGTGTTGATCTGTGTCTGATTTGTATTCGTATATACATCCAGATTGGAAGCGTCTTCAGAACTTGTTGAGGGCACAGGCCATGTTTTCCAGCGCAGACCGAGCATCTGAGGGTGGGAAGCACTTCATGGCCTCTAAGGCCTTGTTGCCGTGGTAACTGCACAGGTCAAGTGCCTGGCTGACGCCTCTTTCCATCTTTATCAGGCCCCGGAGCTGCAGAACACGCAAGAATGAGGAGAAATCTTAATATCACTCCATCAAGCTGATGAAACTCAATCAGGAAATGCAATAGTCTACTAACTGAATTTAGAGGTGAGGATATTCAAAATGTGCCAATTTCTACAGATTAACAAGATTTCGTGGCAAAAAAAAATGTTAGTAACAGTTTAGAATTGAAGTTCGGTTTGTAATCACTAGCTAATCTGGATCCGTTAGATGATAAGATCCAACAATGAGCAATACTTTCAAAACATTTATTAATTTTAATAGTGTAACACCTGTAAAATGAACAGTTTTGAAAATTAATATTTTTATTCATTTCTCAGTTAATATAGGCAATGTATTTTGGTGCATTTAAACAAAACAAATTTTTTAAACAGATATATTTATTCAAATAATATTTTAGTCACAGAACAATTTAGAAATTGAAAGAAAATATAATCAAATTCAAGCAAAATATAAAAAAAAAGACAACCAAAAAAACTTCAACTAAATTTGTAATTTTTTTTTTTTTGCTTCTCTTGATAATTCCTCTTTTTTTTTAATTTGTATTTAATATGTTTCTTATAACATAAATTTAGGTGTACTAGTTTTTGGACTGTTATCGTAAGTTATTTTGTTAGATAAGCTTCAGCACTGACTAATCCAATGTATGTGCACAAACATAATATTGTAGAGCTTCCTATTAAAAATATGAATTTTGAAAGATAGATTGGTGGGGGGTTTACTTATTTGCTGAGCACTGTATGAATCAATTCTGGAATCCTGATGTGTCCTTAAATAAAACTTAGTTTCTTTCCAAAAATGTATTTCCAAAAACCTACACTATACAGAGTGTTTAATACTAACAATATATTATCGATGTATCACACAGATAATATACCAAAATTGACAAAACCAACAATTTTTAGAAACCTATAAAAAATTACTAAATAAAGCCCAAAATATTCCACCCTTTCCCTCACGCGAATGGCCTTGTAGCTCTCCTCCTATCTTTATAAACATGTTTTGCTGGAGGCCATTTTGCCAAATGAATTCTGGGATGTGTTGTGCTAAGAAGCCCTTGGGGGCGCAGAGTTAAAAACAGCAGGAGAGACCTGCTTTCGCTAATGTGAGCATAGAAACCCAAAACAAGGGGAGAGACATAGATGTAGGAAAACTAGTTGTCGGATTTCTAACTTTTTAGTATGGCCACAGTGTCACTTGACATTAATGTACAGTACTTAAAAACATAAATAAAAAACATTAGTTTAACAAACAGAGAAACTTTTACACACACACACACACACACACACAAACTGAAAGCGATTACTGGAGATATTAGTGTCACATTTATGTGCTGATAACAGAGATGTGTGTGCGTGTGAGGTGTCTGTCTGTGCCCCGTTGAAGGAGAATGTTGTGTGATGTTGCTGTCAAACCGTCTCTCTGTCTCCTCTACAAATAAACCCGTCACTCTATCTCCTAATATCCTGTTTCTACGGCGACCCGAGCCGCTTCTGCCCTCCTCCTCTTCCTGCTCCCTCTCCTCTATCTGTCTCCCGTCTTTCTTTCTGTCTTTCTTCTTCTCCTGACTTTGGAAATCAAATTTCTCAACTTGCTATCAGTTACAGAGAGCAAACTCACGGAGGATCACAACTACCAATATTCACAGCACGGCTCAATTAATGTGTACTTGTCAATGACCGATTCTGAAACTTTTTATCTTTGAACTTTAATGACTCTCAGATTTAGATGTTTGATTATGATGAGAAACTGTTTTAATTATGCAAATGTATCCTGTATACACACACACACTTTTTATTAAGCATGAATAGTTTAGGTTTGGTTCATTTGTATCAATTGGATATGAATGAACTTCCCTTATTGTTTGTTTGTTTGAAAAGATTCACATACAACCTGGCAGAGCATGGGAATGATTTCATGAGTGACTCCTGGAAAATCGATCTGCATCATAACTGTATGAATGTTTCGTCAGAAGGATTGTGGCTAGATTCATCGATTAGTGGTCTGACCAAAAGGATGGATTTCCCATGAATTCGATATCTGACTTATTCATTGACAAAGTGAAAATAATCAATTGATTTACTGACTTTCACACAAAAACAAGTTCTGTGAAAAAGAGGAAACTGAAAAAATGAGGCTGTTGTTCTGCTTTCTATCTCCCTTTATAAAAATAAATAAATAAAATAGGAGTCACTCACCTTGGTGTAATCAATCTGTCTAGACATATTCTGGGCCTGCAATGAAGAGAGAAAAATATGAATTCTGCGAACATCATGCTGACACAGTGAAATCTGAACTGTAATGGTGTTTTGTCACCAGTCTAGAGGCTAAAATCTCATCGAATCACTTCAATTAATGATAAAACTGTCTGCTCAGTTAGATATCAATTATACTTCAGTAAAACTGTCTGCTAGCAGCGTTTAGACAACACATAGCTAACATAATGTTAATAAATACATTAAAACTGGAATAGTAAATGTCTTTGGAGTATACACTACTGTGCACAGTTTTGTGTGTTTAATATTTTGGTATGTAAGACACCTCTCAAGGCTGCAACTATTTGAATAATTTATTTAAAAAAATGAATAAATTATTATATATTATTATGAAATTATCTTTTTTATTATTAGTTTTTAGGGGTTTTCACCTTTATTAATAGGACAGACAGTTGAGATGTACAGACAGGAAAGTGTAGGGAGCAGAGATAGAGGAAGGATCGGCAAAAGACCTCGAGCCAGGAATCTAACCTCGGTGCTATGTGTCGACGCACTAACCACTAGGCTATTGGCACCGACAGAAATAATCTTTTTTTTATATAAATATTTTTACATTTAAAATAACAGTCTTCTTTAACAATATATTTTTAAACTGGAAACAGGAAATAAAACTATTCTTATGATGGAAAACTGACTTCAGCTGCCGTAACTCTGTTCTTCTGTCACATGGTCTTTCAGAAATTTTTCAAATTTGCTAATAAATAACACAATATATGTTTTAGATAATTATTTTAGATGTTCATATTGTTCAATTTCAGCTAATTTGGAAAATTGTGATATTCTTTTTATTTTTATTTAAGACTAAAAAAGATGCATTTATTTAAAAAAAAAAGCATTTATTTAGTATGTTTTGATTATGCTATTATTATGTTTTGAACAGTAATGTATAATGTATGAGCCCAATCCCAATTAAATTTGTGTTACCCTTACGCCTTCTTCTTGGTTCTTGAAACAGAGTGTGATGGGGAAGGGCTTCAAAATTTACCCCTAAGAAATGGGACAGCATGCACGCACGCACACACACACGTCATGATATCTTACTTCATATGAGATCAATGATGGTGACTGCTGTAGTTAGTCCAGTTGTATTATCTTTTGGTATTCATATTCAGAAAAATGCAATGATATCATGTTATTATAATGATATAGTGTGGCAATAAGATCGTAGCTGTACCGTGGCCATATTCAAATATGTAAACACAAAAAAACAAAATGAACTTTACAGCCTACCAGATACTGTAAAAATGTATTTCCCAGGCACTAGGGTATTCAACTGTCATCAAGTGACAGGTGTGGAAGTATGTTGTTGGACTACTATACAGGAGTTATTATTATGGATTATAGATAGCAAAATTTAGCTTTTTTTCTATTGTTTTTTAAAAAGGGCATGACCATAAAACACAAACTGCTTTATAAATGTATTAAATGGATAAGAACATATGTTTGTTTGTTGTAAAATATTTGCCAAAAATGCCAAAAATTACTAATTTGTGCATCTTCTAACTCGTGTATGCATGTTGCCATTGTAGCTGGTGTATTCTGGGAAATTTCTGTACCCCTTAGCATTTCGCAGAATTGGGATTGGGCCATAGTTTATGAGTTTATGCTATTTATATAAAAAAAGTCAAAACTTTTGTACATTTTTCATGGTGAACTATGAAAGCCTATTAGCAACATAGATTGTACTGTTCTGGTGTGGTTTCTGGTACCTGTTTTAGCTGCTGCTGCCATCTCTCAGGTCCTACGATTTGTCTGTGAAAGACTACAGGAGCCGAGTCAAAATGAAACACAGCCCCTTCTGAGCCGCTCTTCACAAACGGCTGTAACTCAGAGTTTAGCTGCACAACACACAGAGTACATCCATGAAGATCATGAAACACTGTGAGTACACTATGAGTTTCTGCACAAAGAGAAATGTAGCTCCGGCAGACAGCAAGTAGAGTGCAGCAGATTGTGCTCACCTTGTGTCCCAAAGCGAGGTGTTTTCCGTACTGAAAAGCCAAATTCTGAGCCTCTGTATTGTGTCTGGCCAGCTTCATAGCTGCTTGACAACTCTTGGCAAGCAAAGCACCATGGGACAGGAATGCCTGGTCTTCCCAGGAAGCAACTGTTAGACTGTCCTCCTGCAGAAAACAGAGAAACTCAATCAAACAAGCATAATTTAACACACACATACATAAAAGAGAATAAACATTTAGTCATCTTGCTTTCAAGCATTAGTTCAATTCTGTTATTAGTTACTCATCTCCACGTTGTTTCAATCCCATGACACTTTCATTCATCTTCAGAACACAAATGAAGATATTTTAGATAAAACAAGAGAGCTCCCTCATCCTCTACAGACAGAACTAGCCATGAAACGTTCAAAGTCCAGAATCAAAAACATTTTCAAAGCATTCCATGTGTCTTCAGTGGTTCAGCTACAATCATATAAAAGATCAATGTTTTGACAATGCAATGTTTTTGGTTCCTTTTCTAGACTTATAATATCTCGGGACCCTTGCTGCCTATGGAGGATGAGGGAGCTCTCAAATTTAATCTAAAACCTTAATATGTGTTGATGAACCAAAGTCTCAGAGGATCTGAATGACATGAGGTTGAGTAATTAAAAAACTACTGTATTTAAATTATTTGGGTGTTTTAAGTTAAAACATAAATATCGCTGTGGTAAGCATAAGAAAAGAACAACAAAATATCTCAAAATATTCCCCTATTATGTCTCCTTCAATAGGTAAAAGCACTTTTGTTTTGTGTTTCACATCAGCTCAACTCTCAAGGAGTCTGAAATGATTCTTTTGAAGATTCGTTCTTTCTAAACCCATTATTTCTGACAGCCAGCTCTGCTCTAACTGGTCAAATGGCACAGTGTTTCAATCAGCCCAACTGCTTACATGATTAAATTGAATTCAACGACTAAGATTTGCATAGTAGCAGTTTTACACTTGGATTGGCACATATCGCAATGCATTTTTGAGTATGCAGAAGCTCAGTGACAATTAATTACAGACTCATAAATAATGGTGTGCAAAAAATGCATGGTTATGATTAGGGATGTTCAGATCCAATCACCTGATCAAAAATCATGCCCAATCAAGCAGTTTCAGACTCGATCGAAATCAGACATTGACCGAATATCTATGTATATTTATATATTCTAATTATTTTTCAACACATCTATAGTTATGCGGTGGCACAGAGTTAGATCTTTTTCTTGACTTGAAACATCAAATTGTGCGGCATGACATTACTTTGTTGCAGAGACACTGTTGGTTAAATCCTGTCAAAGTAGAACAAGAAAGCAGCTTGAAGCGGAAAGCCTGAGTATGTCTGTGGTCTGGAGGTATAAAGTTGATGACGACAGCATTGCTATAACAAACTGTAAGATATGTAAATTTAGGACTTCAAGAGGTGGAAATGAAAAGGCTACTTTTAACATAATAAACAAACAGAGTTGTTGAATGTTAAAATAAGGTGAATTAAATAAAAATAAGGAACATCATCGATCTGTTTCTTCACTCTTCATTATTCTTTTTTTTTGTGTATTATAGAAATATCAGATTGGGATCGGTAGATACTCTAAATCCAACGACTCGGACCTGAGGGCAATAAACCCTGACCGGGACATCCCTAATTATGATGGAGGTTTTGTTAGAACAAATATTTGGTTTCAATAGAAGCTGACAACACAAACCTATTTAAAGAAATTGTTCAACCAAAAATGAACATTTACTCACCCTTGTTCCAAACCAATTTAAGTTTTTATTTTTGTTCTGTAGAACACAAAAGAAAATATACTGAAGAATGTTGGAAACTGGAAACCATTGATATCCCCAATACTTATTTTTTAGATCATGGAAGTCCAAGTTGCTGTTTTTCAACATTGCTTAAAATATTTTCTCTTGTGTTTAACAGAACAAAACAACTCAAAAAGTGAAGAGTGAGTAAATGATGACAGCATTTCATTTTTTTTTATGGTGAACTATCTCTTTAAACTTTAGAGTAGAAGAGGTCAAGGTAAAGATTGTTTGTGACCAGCCAATGAAGATCATGGGATGTCATTATGCAAATTTCCTTGGGCTTAGTCTCTATTTCAGAAGTCGCCAGAGCGGCATGAACCGCCAACTATTCCAGCATATGTTTAACGGTGTGGATGCCCTTCCAGCTGCAACCCAGTAATGGGAAACACCCCTACACACTCACACACACTACTGACAATTTAGTTTATTCAATTCACTTTTAGTGCATAATTGTGGACTGTGGGTGAAACCTGAGCACGGGGAGAACATGCAAACTCTGCACAGAAGTAACAACAGGCCCAGCCGGTGTCTCAAACCAGTGACCTTCTTGTTGTGAGGCGACAGTGCTACCCACTGAACCACCATGCCACCCCATTATGCAAATGACTAAGAATAAATGTTCGGGTCTTAAAGTTATGGTCAGTTATGGTTTTAAAACAGGAATTGTGAATGACTTGTTTGCAATAACACTGTTTTTGATATTATGCACAATAATTTTATTAGTCTTTGATTTGTTTATTTTTTTCATCTTTTAAGTTTTTTTTTCACAAAGAGCTACATTACACAAAGGTAACAAAATAAAAAAATTATTAAAAAAAGCTCAAAACTTCAACTCAAAAGTATTATTTATGGAGATGAAGACTTCTCAGTACTGGGTTGCAGCTGAAAGAGCATCTGCTGTTTAAAACATTAGCCGGAATAGTTGGCAGTTCATTTTGCTGTGGCAACCCCTAATAAATAAGGGACTAATTTAAAGGAAAATGAATGAATGAGGTGATGCGTTGAGCACTATATTTTATAAAACAAAGCCCCCAAAACTACAACCAAATGGAAATTTCTAGAGTTCAATTTCCAAACAAGCAAAATGTTTCAAGAAACTTTGAGGATGTAACTTCAGAAAGAAAAAAAATAGAGAGAGAGAGAGTAAACAGAAAATGGTGGTATGATGGAGGGGGTGGTGTAACCGGAGGAGGGAAGGTGATGCAAACGTCTGCTCGGAAACGTCTCCTCTAAAAAGGGTAAAAGAAACTTGAATCTCTCTCTCCCTCCCTTGTTGCATTTCTCTCACATAAACGAGGCCTTTTCCATCACTTTTCCTCCTCCTCGCCTCACACAGAAAACTTTGTCATTCATTATTTACTGTGAGCAGTTAGCAGATGTTTTAAGTCAGTCCGTGTTTACCTCTGTTTGCTTGTCCAGTCGTTAGCTCTGTTTTGAAAGCTTTGAATATGAAACATTAAACACTAAAAACATTCCTCCTGTATGCCATTAGAAATTATTTACGAGGAGAAAAGTTGCATTTTATCTTATATGGTACATGTTTATTAAACCCATAAATAGAGGCTGTGGAAATATGTCCATTTACTGTGGATCTGTTTAAGGTATATTCTAATAGAAGTATTCATTAAAAAAAAGAAAAAAAAAAGTCTTCCATATTTAAAAAAAAACATGAAGATTTAATTAGGGTTGTACAAATGACGGTTAGCTTAGCTATTAATGCGAGTTTCAGTTATTTGTACAAATCTAAAAAAAAATATCAAGTCTTTTCATACCTTATTGTTATACATTAATTCTAATACCTAAAAGTCCCATTTACACTGGCACATTACACAGACAAAGTATGTATTCTAGAAATAAACCGGAGATACAATGAGTTGTTAAAACTATTATGTTTAGCAATATGTTTGTAGAAAAAAACTCTTCTCTCTAATAAACAAAAATTAGGGAAACAAATAAACGGGGGGCTAATAATTTATGGGGCTAATAATTCTGACTTCACCTATATATGATTATATCGTAGCACAATTTAAGGCACAAAATAAATTTATTTTTAATATAATTATTAAATCTGAAATACCATTGATGTAGCTTGTATGGATATGTAAATTATGTATCTGAGAATACATTTTGCAGATATTGTTTTGCATTTAGATTTCTATAATGTATCAAAGACTGCCTTTAAAAAAAATGTTAAGTTTTAGTTTTAATTTTAATTTCGTCATCATTTCCTCACACTTAGGTAGGGCTGGGTGATATGGCAAAAATCTTGATAATTTATTAACAATAAGGATATACATTTTGATATAAATTGTTAATGTCTCTAGATTTAAAAGTGTACCCCAACAATAACTGAAGCCACAAAAATTAGAGGGTCTATTAAACGGCATGAGATATTTTTTCGGTGGCCAAAAATTTGGTACATTCCTAATATGCCACACTTTTAGATTCTCATTGTTGCACATTTCTGCTGTGTGACTGGCTCTCAGATCAATTTAAAGTAAAAAAAAGTCCAGAGCTTACTGTTGTTATTTGATTTGATATAATATCGTTTATCGGCTCATCCCTACACTCAGGTGGTTCTAAACTTTTACGAATTTCTTTCTTCTAGACAAAACCAGATATTCCTAAGAATGTTGGAAAAAGCAGCCATTGACATCTATAGTCGGAACAAAAGCACAATAACTTCTGTATATCTTTTTTTGTGTTCAACAGAAGAAAGAACTTTACATTACAAGTGTAGATTAAATAAATGATGAAAGAATTTTCCTTTTTGAACCTGCACACACAAAACATCATGCTAAATTTAGTTAAAGGTAAAGGATTCTACACTGTACAAAATGATACGACAAAAAGTCATGACTATATGCATTTATAATTACTTGAACTGATTTTAATAAGTCAATCAGGTTTAAACTACATTTCTTAAGATTTGCAAAGTTTAACTTAAGCTTTCAGTCAGTGCGATTGATATAAATTGAGATGAATACAAAAGTTCATTTGATTCAACAAAAAAAATAGGGCAGCATTTTTGTTAAAAGGTGTAGTTTAGACTCATTTTAGCCTCAAGCCTGAGTCACTAATGTAGAGTACAGACTGCATTATTATAGCCCCGATTTTGACTCACCGACAGGTTTGAGTAATCGCTGACAAATGCCTGAAATCACAGGCAAATCGGTGCTCGTGCACATGAGTAACAATCACACAATGTGAACCAAAGACACAATCTGAGAGAATCACAGGTGAATGCAAATGATTGCATTGTTTCCATGTCACTTCTTGCATATTTGGTTGTGAGACTATGTAGTTTGTGGATCGAGACAAAGTTGTCGGCGATTCTTCCTATTGTAAAGTCATGTAGTGTGAAACCCCTGTTGCCGATCCATCTTGCACTGTAAACACAGCAGTGATGGAGTGCTGCCCCAGATAGTCATGCAGTGTGAAAACATCTGGGACACAACTACTTTAAAAATCATGTAGTCTGAACTTGTCAAAACTTGAGTAGCCATCCCTTATGCCCCATAGTGCCTCTGGTGGTTATATGTGGTAAGTTCATTCAGTTTTGATGCGCTTATTGAAGTCTGAAGTAATCTCAAATCGAGTATGAGGTCAAGTCTGAAGTGTATTTAAATACAACTCAAGCCCAAATCACTAACTCCAGTGGCCATCTTTTGTTTGTGCCTCCAGTGGTCATGTGTCTTAGTGTATATATCATACCTCTGCAGAACCTGAGCTCTCGTGATAGATTCCTTGCACCACATCTCCAATAGCACTGGAGATCAGCTCCACCACCTGCAACAAACATAATGTTACGACACTTAGGGCAGCAAAATATTTTCCACATAAAGGAACACTTTCCGAATAAGAGTGTCCATAACGGATAAAGCCCATCTGTTCAGAAATGAGCATTTATTAGGATATTAGGAGCTGTTTGGGAATATGGGAAGACTTTTTTTCCTGTCCACTCAGTCTGAAGAGCATCTGAGGGACAGATAGAATAACCAGTACTTCAGTTATTAAACAGATGGCCAGTCAAAACAGTGCAACGTCCAGAGGATACAGGGCCTAATGAGGGCCTTGACATCTGCACACGCTTATTGATTCAGTATTAGTTTTAAAACTGCGCGCACAGCCCAGAAATACTCAACCAGGCCTGTAGGCAGGGGGAGTTCAGGTGGTTCGAAAGAACCACCCCTCACTGACAAAGGTCCAGAAATTGTCCCATATGATATATGAGCTCGTTTGTCCTATTTTGACTGCTATGCCATCATAAATAGTGAAAATAACCCATCGAAAAAGGCTTTAAGACCAAGCGTAAGCCTCTGTTGGCTGTCGCTTCGCTGCAACTTCAGTTATTCAGTTTTAGCCAATGCTAACTAATATTTTTATTTTACAATCTGACACAAGTTAAGTCATCTTTCGCTGCTGCATTGTTTGTAAACAGAGAAAACATTTTACAAGAAACTTATTCTAAATCTCTTAGGCTTAAAACAAAACAATGTGTAATCAAAAGGTGTGAAGAACCAAATATGGAACATATTGAATTTGATTTGAATACCAAATTGGCAATGGATTTTATCCATGAATTTTTTTTCAAAAGTAAATTTTTTTACAAGAGAGGCTAAAAAAAATGTTAAGTTCTACATTATTATTATTAGTATTATTATTATTATTATTATTATAACTACTACTACTACTACTACTACTACTACTATTAATTTTTTTTTTTCAAATAGTCAAACTTTGGAAAGTCCAGTTTGTTACTTGCCAATTAAATGAAAGTAGACTACAGTTTTTAATTTTTTAATTAAAAACAGATTCCTAATAATATAATATTTATAATTATATTATTTTTTTCTTCAAATTTCTTTATTTCAATCTTTAGGAAATATTTTTACATCATATTTATATCAAAAATTGTGATTATGATGACCATCCGACAAGTTAATTCATCTCAAAATAGTGATTAAAATGTCACTAAAATGGGAGAAAAACTGCAAAAAGGTCCACTTTTTGAGAAAAAAGAACCCCCCCTTTTACCAGGCTGGCTATGGGCCTGTCAACACCTACAGAAAATTATCTGATATTACAGTGTTGAGTATCTGCTCCCTGAAACTATAAAATATACATGCAAAATACACATCATACACTATATCCCTCGTCTTAAAAATCATAAAAGAATGAATAAAAAAAAAAAAAATATATATATATATATATATATACACATACAAATTTATTACATGACATATCATTAGGGGAAAAAAGTTTTAAATTTAAAACTGCAGCCTATTGTCATTTATTGGGGAAATAACAAACAGTAATCAAAAGGTGTGTAAGGACAGCACATTCAACTTTCTTAAGTCAGAATTTGGTCATTTTAATAATAAAAAAATTAAACATAATAATGATAATAATAATAATAATAATAATAATAATAATATATATATAATTCTTTTAAGAATAAGGTCCAAGATTTAAGAATGAAAGTACTAGTCACATTTTTTCTTAATTTAAAAACATTACAGTAGTGAAAGATGATATCACTTATGTCAGATGTTTTCTTGCACAGCTGGATGTTGCACTCTTGAAAAACAATTGGCTAAAACTGATTAACTGAAGTCACACCAGGATTCCGCTTGGTCTTAAAGCCTTTTTCGATGGGTTATTTTTTATGATCGTATAGCAGTCAAAAGATGACAAATGAGCTTATGTACGTGACAAATTCTGGATCTTTGTCAGTGAGAGGTGGGTCGTCCGAACCACCCGAACCCCATGCCTATGAACCTGGGTTTAAAGTTACACGAGGCTAGTTTAATGACGTCGTCTTATTTCCCTTTTATTTTTTATTATTATTTATTTTTATTTATTTACTTTTTTTTGTAGCGAATTATTAGCACTTTGTATCCTGCAGTATCCACCGTTCTCCTGAAGGGGTCGCTACTCTGTTACATCCTCCCCATAACACTCAGCTGGAGTATCTCACTGACAGCTCCATCTTTCATCTTATCACACGCTTTCTTCCCCATCCCTTCCTTTCATCCATCCATCCATCTATCCGTTGCCCTAGGCTACATTCTCCACCTCTGTTTCACCCTCCGTCACTTGTTCTCCTCTTTTCCCCAAAGACCTGCCCGTTGAATCACGAGACCACAGGCAGAACCTCCGGGGAACTCCAACAGCCGAGGCCTTCCATCCCAGATGCTCATATTTAATATTATGTTACCCCCAAACTTACTCTCTCAAACTTTGTTTTTCTCACTCTTTCCTTCTCTCTGTCTCTCTGCCCTCTGAGTAACCAGATCTTTGAGGAAACAGCGAGGAACCTGACTCCTCTACCCAGAGCCTGAAGAAGACAGAGCCCCTATAGCGCAGCCAGATGTGCGGCTTCACACACCAGAAATTAAAGCATGTGTGTGTGTGTGTGTGTTAGAGAGAGAATGCATATATGTTTGTGTACGTCTGTGTCTTTCGTGTGAGTTTGTGTGTGTGTGTGTGTGTGTGTGTGAAGTGGGGGGGGCTTTTTTTGGAAAGTATCAGATAAGCTACCCTCCCTCCGTCTCGTCTCATTCCCAAATCCAGCCGGAGTCGTGTTTCGCCGACAGGTCTGTGAGGAGAAGAAAGAGGAGACAGCCGCTCGCGGATCCCTTTACCGTTTATACTAGTGTCGAGCCAGAATCCCACTCTCTCTCTCTCTCTCAATCACACACGCACACACACAGTCTACTAAGTCAGGATCCCACTCAAGGCCGCGATACATAATACAGATCAATCAGGGGGGAAAAGCGCTTTGCTGTGGAGAGGGAACGTCTGATTTCCACCACTAATGCTCTCACGCTAACTCAACTGAACCACTAATGTGCCTCGCCCTCATTTACATACAAGGCAGTTTTAAAAGGGAGATTCGTTCTGGCTGGCTGAATGTCACTTACATCAAGGGGAAAGTAGAAAACTGAGCGCATGTTTAAAACACTGCAGTTAATTGTGAATTCAAGTTTAAGCAGAAAACGCTTGAGATCTGATTGGCTGGATGTGCTGTCAGTCAGTCACTCCTTCAGTGGGTCAGAACTGAGTGTGTGTGGCTTTAAATCACGGTTCACTGAACTACAGGTTCAGTTTCACAGAAAAAAAGGATTTTACTGGTACTCTCTTAGTGTGTGAGGGTTTGGGTTATGCAAGTTTAAAATAGTTTTGAAAGTTCATTTCTCAAGGTTACAGTTATTTGATTAAATCTAAAAGGAAACTATTTAAAATCCTTTTCTTTCTTTTTGAATATTTTATGTATTGATTTTATCAACATTTATTACAACAAATCAACTAAAAATGACATCAATATTTCTCATATTAAATAAAAATGCAAATAACACAATTAGACATTAAATGTACAGGTTGTCGGATATCTTCCGGTATCATAAAAATATTAAATGTTTGTTTTTTTAGTTAAGAATGCAGTTGTAACTGATCACTTTAAAATTCTTTAACTATACCTATGTTCTTACATGAAAGTTAAGGCAAAAAAAAAAAAAAAAACACCCTTGACCTGTGCTTAGGTGAAGGATTTCCATTTCGGTCCAGCAGGAGGAGCTACAGAACACGTCAACACACTCTTGAAGCCACAGTATTACAGCACACCATCTACCTAAAGAGTCTACACACAGACTCTCTCTCTTTCTCTCTCTCTCTCTTTCTCTCTCGCTCTCTCTCTCGCTTTCTCTCTCACTCGCTCTCTTTCACACACACACACACGGCAGCAATGCAATGCTTTTAGATCAAGACAACCTACTGCAGCTCAAACTGAGCATCAGAATGGGGAAGAAGGTCATTTTAGTGACTTGAACGTGCCATGGTTGTTGGTGCCAGACAGAGTGTTTCAGAAACTGCCGATCTACTGGTATTTTCAAGCACAATCATCTCTAGGGTTTGCAGAGAATGGTCCAAAAAACAGAAAATATCCAATGAGCAGCAATTCTGTGGGCGGAAATGCCTTGTTAAGGTCAGATGTAGAGGTCAGATAAGAATGGCCAGACTGGTTCAACCTGATAGAAAGCCAATAGTAACTTAACTCAAATAACCACTCGTTACAACCGAGGTATGCAGAAGAGCATCTAAATTGAGCACCATGTCAACGCCACAGCCTACCTGAGTATTGTTGCTGACCATGTTCATCCCCTTATGACCACAATGTACCCATCTTCTGATGGCTATCTCCAGCAGGAATCCAATAGAGCACCTTTGGGATGTGGTGGAACTGAAGATTTGTATCATGGATGTGCAGCCAACAAATCTGCAGCGACTGCGTGATGCTATCATGTCAATATGGACCAAAATCTCTGAGGAATATTTCCAGTACCTTGTTGAAACTATGCCACAAAGGATTAAGGCAAATCTGAAGGCAAAAGGGGATCTCTAACCCAGTACAAGTAAGGTGTACCTAATAAAGCGGTCAGTGAGTGTAGGTAAAACCCCTATTCCACACTATTAAAAATGCATGGTTGCACACAATTCATTCACTTTTTCCAACACAAATCGATTAAGTTTACCTAACAAATTTATGTGGATTGTATATATAACAATTTGTTTTCCCCCCCAAAAAATCTCAAAATTTGTGTTGTTTTAACTTATTTTAAAGAATTTGTTCAAATAGGCATCAAAATCTTTCAGTGTATGGCACTATCCCACCCATACCCCTGAACCTAACCCTCACAGGATATCGGTGGCAAATTTTCAATGTCAAAAGTTAAGATCTGTAAGCTTTTGAATTAAAAGGACACCAGGCATGTCCTCATAAACCATCTAAATTTTGTAATACGTAGGTCATACTCATGTCATTATTCAAATTTCTGTCCTTGTAAATCTCCAAATCCAGTACACATATCCACACACATACACACAATAAATCAGGTGTTAGTCCTGATTGTCTGAATGCTGAGCTCCATAAGGGAAAACACAGAATCTGTTCTCTATATTAGTGGCCACAATCTGCTGATCATCTAAATCCCCTGCAGTCATTTCCACGTCCGCTCATGCAGGAGTGTGTGTGTGTGTGTCTGAGGCCACGCAGAAGGAAAAGAGTTTGTTTTCCTCCACTGCAGCGCTGCATTCTAGAGTCGCAGTTGGTGACAGATCCTGTCAACGTACTGCTGCTTAGTGCAACCGAGTGTGTCTGTGTGTGTTACACGGACACAGAGAGACCAAATGTTAGGCTTTCTAAAGTGAAAATGCTTTTGTACTTAGTCTGCTAATATTATGGTATGACAAGCAAAATCCTCTAATATGGGGAATCCTAAATTGAGGCACATAAACGACACGTGTGTTTAAGCAGGTCTCGGGTGCTTGGAATCAAACTTGATTTTGCTTTGTAAACTTATATAGGGGAAATTTCTTACATTTAAACAAAAAACTAAGAATAAAAACAATTGTACTGTAGGTGGAAACATATTACAACAGTTAAGTGTTAAAACTAACACTCAGCTGGTTAAATAGTAAATAAATATATATTTAGTAGACTTCTGCTTTTGGCGAAGGCACACAGCCAAAACATTTATTTTTCTTTTCTCCTGTGATTTATTTAATAAATTATTGAGTGCTGTAAGAATTTTTTTGTTTGTTTGTTTGGCTGTTTGTTTTTCTCCTAAATTAGTGAAGATCGTTAATTTTTAAAGAAATCAGATCTTATACGTGACAATTTTGTAATGGAAAAACAGTTCACCGGAAGCCTTGTGCTGCCTAGCTGAAAATGAAAAGTCTGTGTGCATATAGCCCATTGGTGCCTCCTCATGTCGATTAGCACCACACTTGTCTTACTTGCTTAAACACAAACCATACTAAAACCTTTTTGGTATGCTGAGACATTTTACATACTAACATTTAGGGCAAACTAAAACAAGTGCAGAGCTTCTTTGGTACATATCATTTGAAGAAATTTGGTCACAGCACCAAAATGATCTGACAGAGAGCAGTGGTTTACATTTAATTGAATGTATTCTGCTTTTGCTAAAACAATTGTAATGCAGCATAACATGTATTGTTAATAGAGAATAAAAACCCACAATGCACTCAATAAACAAATTAAAAGTGGCATTGATTAAACATAAAAAAAAGTTGATTTTGAATAAAATAAAAAAAATTTCTGTGTAATTCTGCGCTAAATTGATAACATTTTATTAGATTAAAAATATTTATATGATTTATTTATACTACAGCAATTATGTTTAATAAAATATTTTACTGTATTTAAAAAAAAAAATAAATGCAGCCCATGTAAGCAAAAGAACCTTTCAAATATACTTTTTGTAAAACAGCAATGTATGCTTTTTGCTACAAGTATTAATTAAACAGAATAAAGCAGTCTAAAGCTATATATCTACATATTTGTGTGTATGTGTGTGTGTGTGTTATGTATATTCATCCCATCATGAGTTGCAGCTCCTGTATGCTTCAGATAAAAAATTCCATTTGCATGATACATGGGAGTCGCTGGCTACGTAAAGCCTTTCAAGTCAGTAACTTATGACGGTCTATTTAATTCTGAACCTCGCTTTAGTAGCAAGCAGCAAAAACAGAGCCTCTTAAAAGAAACACACAGAGTTAAAAGAAACACACTTCAGGAGGAGGATCTGAGCCATATCAACAGGCTTGTATAAGAGAAAACAGGTCGGGTAACACAACTCTGACATGTCCTGATGTATTGTGCCATCACTTCACATCTGTACTGGCCATTTGAATGCTGCATGATATTGAGAGCGGCTGTAAGCGTGAGCTGCGCGAGGCAGTGGGGCTGCGGGCCGCATGCAGTCAGACGATGCTTTGACTGCGACTCTAATTAGAGCTGGAGGAGAACACTGACACTTAATGAGGGGTGTAGGAGACATATGCTCGCACACACACGCGCACACACAGGAGAATGAGGGAGAGCGCAAGTGTATGGAAATGAGCACGAGAGGACGGACACACTCAGACACACACACGCATGAACACACACGCACACACATAGAGCGGACAGTGTAGAGATGGAAGTCTTTGAGATGGATTTCAGAAGATTTTCCTACAGTGTTCTGCATAAAAATACAAACATGATGAAAAAATGGCTTAGACCTCCAGCATGAAGAATTTACAATTACTGCAGTGTCAGAATAACTTTCTGATTTGATATATTTTAAAACATGACATACTCCTATCAATCATTAAAATGCTTGTTTACTTAAAGAAATGGACTATTTGGTTAATTTTACATTTTTAGTTTTAACGATTTAAAAAGTTCAAAGGAAAAAAAAGTGCCATTACCCCTCCAGCATGAAAAAGTGTACCTTTATTTAATTGTTTGTCTGGTTATTCATTCATGTATACAAAAATACTAGAATTAATCATATTCTGAATCATACTGTAACAATGCAGTTTTAACCCTGGATAAGTAATGAATGAATAATTAAAAAAATAAATAAATAGTCAAACTAATAGTAATAATGTTATTATTGGTTTCTTTAGATTATTTATATAATAATTATATTATATAAATACAGTAACAAAAGGAATATTGTTACATAAAGTTGAACTATTCAATGTTAAAAAAAAGCTAATGTATCACTGATTGATTTTTTTACTGCATTTTCAGCATCATTAGTCCATAAATAAAAAATCTTAATTTTTCTTCATATTTGGAAGAAACCACAACACGTTTTCAAGGATCCTTTGATAAATTAAAAATTCAATTTCAGAATTTTTTTATTATTTTTTTTTTCTTACAAATTTTTGTATCATTTTTAAGGTCAATCATCCCTAGCTAAATAAAACATACGCTCTAAAACCCAAAATTCAACTTTAGCAAAAATTTACTCAAAATTGACTGAAAGTTAATTCTACTCATTTGAAAGGAGTTTTGAACCCAGTGCTGAAGGTAATGAGTTCATTAAATACCTCATTACTTCAACTTAAATTGAGTAAGTTCACAGTAGTCATATAGATCAGTTTAACTCAAATGGTTTGAAATGGTAAGGAATCTTGCCGAATCTAAACTTTTCGATACTACTGACTAGGGCTGTCAAAATTAGTTGTTTCTTCAATGCACCGCGATGCAGACGCGAACATTTTGGTATTGGTTCAGTGATAATCATAACTGGTTATTATGTACTAACGCCATTTATTTGCGTTAAATGGCGGTAACTTAGGCTAATATGGCGAGGGAGGAGACCATGAGTAACTAAAACTCTCCAACTACTTAAAAAGCAGATAATTGTGCACAATTCACTGCTTGTGAGTTTGATGGACAATCCTTCACTGACTGGAAAGTACATCAAAACCCAGTTAGGAAAAAATGAAATCTTTAAACTGTAAACACTGGGGTGTTCATGAGGTAACGTTTTATCTCCTCTCTCGGCTGTTACAACTGTAACGTGTCTGCAAAGTGAGTTTTCTTCTCTGCGTCGCCATCTGTAACAAATCAGCTGACCACTGTGGCCGTTACAGTGTCTGCATCACTGATTGCTGAACAGCACCATAGCATCGCTGACCGAGCCAATCACAGCCTTTTCTGTTGAGCATGAGCACCAAATTGTATTGTAAACAGTAAATAAATATATTAATAAATGATACATTTTAATACTGGAATTATTGTTTTGCTAAGTAAAATATAAAATTGTTTATAAAAAGCATTGTCAGTGCATCGAGATATTTAATTGAACCAAATCGATGGCATGATAATCAGAACCGAACCATGAGACCAGTGTAGAGTCACACCCCCACTACTGACAGATCTGTATTTGTAGCAATTCCATAACATGGTTCCTTTTAATATTGATCATGAAGTGGAGGAAGCAAGATGAAATAAAAACATGAGCATGCATTTAACAGATACATTTAGTACCTTGGTGTCATTGAGCTGAGCCAATCCTGTGCAGGCATTTGCCAACAGAAAATCACCGCTCAGAACCGCCATCTTGTTCCCAAACTGCATGTCTTTGAGAGGCCCATCCGAGTTTGTCCATTCCTTCAGATTAACAATCCCACGATGCACCAGGAAGGCCGTGTGAATCAGTTCCGTGATCTCTGCCAAGTTCCTCTGGCTGACAAAAAAAAAAAAAAACAGAACATTTGAGTGCTTGTTCTTTCATGATTGTGATAATTCATTTTTTTATTTACATTCACATTTGTCTGGTTGGTTAATTACACAATTTTAAAATACACTTAACATTAGGGCTGCACAATATGTTGTTTCAGCATCGATTTTGCAATGTGCACACCCACAATAGTCACATTGCAAGATATGCAATGTTGTGTCTGAATTATAGTTGAACAGGAGCCACAGAATTGTATTTAAATACTGTATTTATAGAAGATATATACAATTTATGTTATTTTTATCATGTTTCTAGTTTAAATATTTGACAATTCTTCACATGTCAAAAACAAAACAATATTTTTACTTCATCTAAGAATTTTTAGATATTTGGACTAGAAACAAGACAGAGCAAAGTAAGAAAAACTTTTATTGCATTGTGATTATTCAAACAAACTGCACCAGAATTAGGCATGGGAAGAAAACCAGTTTCAAGGTTTACCACGGTTAGGTAAAGTCAAGGTTTTAAAAGTATTTTGTAAACCGTTTCTAAGATATATGCAAGTTTTTTTTTTCTTTTTCTTCTTTTTTTTTTTTTTACATGTTTTTCACAATTATTTTATTTATTTTTTTTAGGGCAACAGTATCTCCAGCAGGAAATGATCCTCTACATCAAACGCTACTGGTTCAAAATATTTGAAAGTTTCTAAAAGTGAAATGTATTGTGTTCAATACTCTTTGACCATTTGAGATTAGGCATATATACTCTGGCATCATGATTTTTAATAATGAGCTCATAATAATATGTTTATTTTATTTAGTGTCTTTGCAGTACTCAATGATGATTTAAAAATGTAGGAGAACAAGAAAAACAATGACCATAAGGTGGTAGAGAAAATGGCAACTAATAATACATAAAAGGAATAACAAAGACAAGGGTTACATACTGTAATTATACTGTAGAATATTCAGAAAATAAGTGAGCTTTTAAGAGACTTACAATCAGAAATGTTATTGTATTAATATTACAGCACACTCGGCAAAAATGTTGGTTCCACACAATCACAATCAAATGTGTGTTAGGACAACATGGAGGATTTAAGTTAAGTTTTTACAAATTTAAGTGGATTGAACATAAAACAATTAAGTTGTCCTCAAATAAACAATTCAACAATTGTGTTGTTTCTGCCCATTTTGTAGAAGTAGTTTGAACAAACAGCAAACGTCATTCATTTAAGTGCACTTTGATATACTATTTCCCTTTGGACCCGTAAAACTGTAACGTGCAACCTCAAACATTTTATTAAACAGAAACTGATTGATTTTAGCCCAAATATTAGTTTGCAGAAAAATAAACCAGAGAGTGTCAAGTGTCCCACTGACCATAATGCACTTCACAAAATACCAGCTGCCACTGATTAGCAGGCGAAGACGACTATCAAAAAGGCCATCATACAGACATTATAATCAAATGTTGATTTGCTGAGTTCAGGATCATAATCAGCCCGGACCATTGAGGTCGCAGTGATAACCACCTTCTAGACACAAGAGAGAGAGAGAGACGCTGGCACTGATGACCACTTACCCCTCCTTCAGAGCGGGACGCGTCAAAGAAAAGAGCAAGAGAAAATAAAGAAAAAACATCTTTGATGAAGGGATTCTTTTTAGTTTGGCGGTGTGAGAGAAGCGTATTTGCCCTCTCACACACGCACACACACTGGTCAATGCTTGGGTAATTACACAGCACTGGGATAATTCTTGTTGTCATTAAATGCTGTTCTTTAATGGAGCATCTCCTTGGCTCAATCATGTCTATTGTGCAGAGCTCTCTTGTCCAAGCGTTCACTGATCTACTGTCGCTTTCGCTTCAGCTGACAGTGGCCCGAGTAAATACCTGAGTAAATGTTGACGTGGTTTACAATGTATAAGGATGACTGGGGAACTCAAACATACTTTAAAGAAGCATAATTGTTAGTATTGAGCTTTTCAGGTCAAGAGTTGTACTTGTTTTTGAGTGTCTGTTTTGTACCACTGTGAATACTAAACAGGCTCTTTTGCAAACCATTAGCAACAATTCTAATGGAAACAATTAAGTCCCACCCATTGTGCTCAATAAATATCCTGTTTCACTCAGAAATCCATCCGATTATGGAAGGAAAATGCAAGTCAGAAGGTTTCATAAAAAAAAAAAAAAAAACAGAAAGAAATAAAAATTGGAAATACTATAAAGAGTCAATTAACCAGTTAATTAAAAGTTAATTAACCAGTTCCACATTTTGTGGCAGATATGAATTGCATTAGGGGACCTTGATCTCTGCTCTGTCGACTTTTGATATTGAATTTTCAACTGCGCAGTTTAACAAAGTGATTTTTATTCACATTATAGTATGTCACAAAAAGAAATGTAATTTTTAGTAATTTCATTAGTTTAAAACAATATATTTTATAAGGTATAATATGTAGAAAAAAACACCAAGTCTGTAAAATGACAGTTTATAACCACAACCAGTTTATTACAACACCAACGCAGACAATATTCACTTCAGACTATTGAAAAATGTCAGAAAGATCAAGGTCCAATTTAAAAGCATTAATAAATTACAATATATATATATATATATATATATATATATATATATATATATATATATATATATATATATATATATATATATATTCTATATATATTCTATATATGTATATATATATATATATTTTCTCTCTCTCTCTCTCTCTCTCTCTCTCTCTCTCTCTCTCTCTCTCTCTCTCTCTCTATATATATATATATATATATATATATATATATATATATATATATATATATATATATATATATATATATATATATATGTATGTTTGTGTATTTATATATATGTATGTATGTATATATGTACACACACACACACACACACACACACACACACACACACACACACACACACACACACACACACACACACACACACACACACACACACACACACACACACACAAACACAAACACACACAAACACACAAACACAAACACAAAATACAGAGAATTGTTACATTTTAATTGAAAATGTCAATGTAGGCATAAATTATTATATTAATATTAAAATAAATTAATTATTATATTCAGAAATTAAAAGTAAACCAAATAAAAAAACATCAAAAGATAACTAAAAAAACTAAAAGTAAACTATGTATGTAAAATTTTTGCAGCATGGTCATGTATGGTCAAATGGTCATGTAAATTTGTTGTCTGCACATCTTTTACGCAGATAACTTGACCACAAATCCTACACATTACTTTAGACGAGTCTCGTGGCTATCCTCTTTCATTCAATCTAAAGCCAAAGTATTGCCAAGTTTGTCTACACCATTATAACAACATAGATCACTGTGTCTATTCATGCCAGAGTCCCCTGGAAAAAGTGATTGACAGGTGGTAATTTGTGTGTAACTTATCTTTATTATTTCATTATTTAATTATGGGTAAAACAAAGACCATGCGGGTCAGGTAGTGGAAATGGTGGGCTACAATTGAATAATTCATTATGGAATAATTATTTAACAACACCCCCCCACCCCCCACAATGCCATCGCCCATCGCGATGTTTCACAATAGACATCGTACGATGCCTAATTGGTCGACATCACCCAACCATAAACTATATGTAATAAATATACACAGATGAAATAGAAATGTAATTTTTAGTATTTTTCATTAGTCTGAAACAATATATTGTATAAAAGATAATATGTAGAGAATTAAGTCTGTAAAATAACAGGCAGTTGAATACCAGGTTATTGTACCATAATTTACATCACCAACTCCGACAATATTCACTTCACTATTACAAAGTGTCAATAAAAATGTTATTGGATGAAACATTAAGGTCCAATTCAAAATCATTAGTAAATTAGAAAAAAATATATAAAATCCCAAAATACAGAGAACTGTTCATTTCTGAATAGTTTCACTGTCTACACTGACATTTTCAATAATAAAATAAAATAAAAAAATCTAAACATAACTAAAGAATACTAAAAGCAAATTAAATATGTAATAAATATACATTGGGATAAAAATTGCAAACTCAAAAGAAATATTGAATTAAAAATGAAGAAAAAATGAAAATAATTTAAAATACAGCATGAACAGTATGAACTAATGTGGGTATTAATATCATTCATTATCATTCGCCATCACTGGCATGCTTCATTTGCATTAGGGTGGAAGACAACGAGTCCACCGAATGCCAATAATACAATTTCTGCCCTTTTCCGCCTCCTTGCCCTCATTCTTAATTGATGTGTAATTTGATGGCAGCCTCCACAGAACATCAGCTTCATAATGATCGCCTCCATTCATTTCGCTTAGATTATCATACCATGTTTGACTATTTTGATTCCTCATCTAGAAGTTCACGCCAAGATCTGAACCACATTAATAGCTGCAGTGTAAATGCAGCCAAGATGTGCAAGTGTCCTTCTCAGTCTCCTGCCAGTATTGAGTGGCTGAATTGATTAGCAATAGAAATGATATTTAGAAGTCTTTTTAAATGGACAGTTTTAAAGCACCAATCCTGAATCCAGTAAAACAAAGAAAGGCTTGTCTCAGTAGATTTATCACCAGTTTTCTATTGGTCATATCTGTTGTTTATTATTTTTGTACACATAATTGATTCTAAAAACTGTTTTTACAGCATTAGCCTTTGATTTTTTCTTTATAGTTGTTTTTGATGTATGACCCAGATTTTATTTATTTCATCCTTAACCATGTTTCAGTTAAAGCATAAATAGAAAACTTTGTTGAAGGTTAATTAATGAATACAATTGTCATAATTACTAGACCATATGAAAACCTAAACATATTTCAAAGAGAGTTAAAAAAAAAAAAAAGTGGTTCAAAATAAGTCAGATTTGTGTATACCAATTGTCAGGTATTTTCTTTTTTTTTTTGGTATTGGCATTTTGTATTAGTAATGTATCTTTTTTATTAGTGGTGGGTCGTTATCTGCA